CCCACGGCCGAGAGATGCGGGCTGCGGGCGGCCGCCCCCCTCCCCGCTGCGGGGGTCCCGACCCCCCCCCGCCGCCCCTCGACCCGTTCAGGCGGTGAGTGACCCCCCCGACCCCCCCGACCCCCCTTTTCACCCTCTGGGTGCTGTCCCTTGGGGGGGCTGGGCTCTGTGCCGGGGGGTTTATGGGCCGTGGGTTTGGGGGCGGTGGGGGGCAGCGCTGGGGGCGGCACTGCGGAGCCGTCGGGTCGGTGCCCCCAAGGTCAGGGAGGGCGCAGGGGGGGGGAAGGCAGCCCCCACTGCCGTCTTAAATATAGCAGGGAGCTGCTGGGATGGGTGCCCCCATAGCATAGGTTGTCTATGGGACGTGGAGCTGCGACCCGCGTCCCGGTCCACATAGGGACGCCGTTCTGTGGGTCCCCATGTCCCATAGCCTACGGGGACACCAAGCTACGTGTCCTCGTGTCCCATTCCCCACTGGGACACTGCAATGTCAACCATCTCCCATTCCCATAGGGACCCCAAGCTGCACGTCCCCATGTCCCATAACCTATGGGGACACAAAGCTATGTATCCTCGTGTCCCATTCCCCTGTGGGACACTGGAATGTCCCCCACCCCCCATTCCCCATAGGGACACCATTCTGTATGTCCCCATATCCCATAACCTATGGGGACATGAAGCTACGTGCCCTTGTGTCCCATTCCCCATAGGGACACTGAGGTAAACCCCACACCCCATTCCCTATGGGGACACCAGGCTGTACTCCCACATGTCCCATAACCTATGGGGACACTGGAATGCTCCCACCTCCCATTCCCCATAGGGACGCCATTCTGTATGTGCCCATATCCCATAACCTGTAGGATCACCCTGCTGTACCCCATGCTCCATTCCTAAAGGGACCCCAAGCTGTACGTCCCCATATCCCATAACCTATGGGGACATCCTGCTGTGCCCCATGTTCCTTTCCCATAGGGACACCAAGCTGTACGTCCCCATGTCCCGTAACCTATGGGGACAAAAACCTGTGTGTCCTCATGTCCCATTTCCCACTGGGACACTGGAATGTCCCTCACCCCCCATTCTGCATAGGGACCCCAAGCTGCACGTCCCTGTGTCCTATTTGTCCCCATTTCCACCTATAGGGACACAAAGCCATCTGTCCACACGTCCCATGTCTTCGTGTCCCATTCCCCACTGGGACACTGGAATGTCCCCCACCCCCCATTCCACATGGGGACACTGTTCTGTGTGTTCCCATATCCCATAACCTATAGGATCACCCTGCTGTACCCAATGTTCCATTCCCTATAGGGACACCTATAGGGGAAGCTGCACGTCCCCATGTCCCATTCCCCACGGGGACACTGGGGCAGACCCCACTCCCCATTCCCCATAGGGGCACCGTTCTGTACGTCCCCGCACCCCACAGCCTATAGGACCACCATGCTGTCGCCCACCCCCATTCCCCGCGGTGACCCCATTCTGCAGGTCCCCCTGCCCGGCCCCGCTGCCCGTCTTTGGGGTGACGGCAGCCACGGGGAATGCAGCAGTGCAGGGATCAGAGCCCGTCTGCGACCTCGGGGCAGGGCTGTGGGATCTGCTTGCACCTGCTGACAGGCGATAATCCCGATGTCCTGCAGGCTGCTGGCACGCGTGGAGGGACGGCGGCGCCATGGGGGTGGCACTAAGGGACAGCATTCGGCACTGGAGCTGAGCCACTGCTCCTCCCACTGCTCCCAGTTGGGGTCCTGGGGTTCAGCTGGCTGGGCTGATCTCAGTTGCCAACAGAGCTGCTGCCATCGTGGGGCGCCCACCCTACAGAGCTCCCACCCCGCCGGGCTCCCTTCCCTGCCTGCTGAGTTCGGCTTCTTGCCTTTCCGGCAGCTCCTTCGGCAGCTTTTTGGGTGGCTTTGTGCTGTGGGGTGGCTCTGGGTGGGGAGGGAGCTGAGGTGGGGTCTGCAGGGTGCCCCGAAGCTCCGCTCTGCTGCTGCTGGGCATCTGGGAGCTCTCAGCACTCCGAGGTTCAACGTAAGGTCCTGCAGCTGGAGAGGATCTGTGCTTCGGGATTCGTTTGCTCATCATCCGCATCCTTGTACGGTTGGAACGATCAAACCCACTTCTCTGGTTCCCACGAGCCAACAGTGGGCCCTGGTGGCCAAAAAGGTGACACAAATGATGTCCTGGATGACCAACGGTTGACCACCAAGTGACCATAGGTGACCATGAGCCAGGAGGGTGCCCTGGTAGCCAAGAAGCCCATGGGGTGACGATGAGCCAACGGTGTACCCTGGTGGCCAAGAAGGTGACACAAGTGGTGTCCTGGCTGACCAACAGTTGACCAATGGGTGATCAGCTGTCGACCAACAGTTGACCAACAGTTGGCCACGGGGTGACCGTGAGCCAACAATGTGCCCTGGTGGCCAAAAAGGTGACACAAATGGTGTCCTGGACGACCAACAGTTGACCAACAAGTGACCATGAGCCAGGAGGGTGCGCTGGTAGCCAAGGAGGTGTCCTGGCTGACCATCAGTTGACCAATGGGTGACCAGTTGTCAACCAACAGTTGATCAGGAGGTGACTGTGAGCCAGTAGGGTGCCCTGGTGGCCAAGAAGGCCAGTGTTGACCACAGCATGACCATAAGGCACCAGTGTGCCCTGGTGGCCATGAAGGTGATGCAAATGGTGTCCTGGCTGACCAACCAATGGGTGACCAGTTGTTGGTCAACAGTTGACCAGCAGTTGGCCATATGTTGACCACAAGCCAGCAGGGTGCCCTGGTGGCCATGAAGGTGACACAGATGGTGTCCCGGCTGACCATCTGTTGACCAATGGGTGACGAGCTGTTGACCAGCAGCTGACCAATGGTTGAGCAGAGGGTGACTGTGAGCCAGCAGGGTGCCCTGGTGGCCCAGGTGGTGGCCGACAGGGTGAGCAGAGCCGGCATTGCGCCACCCAGGTGACGGCTCACTCCTCCAGCCCACATGGGGGCGCTCTCTCACAGCGGCGCTCCCGGCATACCCCGTGGCACAGCGCTCAGCGCATGCGCGCACTCCCCTCGGAGCCCGGATGAGCGGCTGCGCATGCGCACGGCAGAGCCGCTTCCTCTCCGCGCTCGGTGCGCAGGCGCGGTGGCGCGTCGCGCATGCGCGGTGGCGCAGCGCCCGCAGCGTCGCTCCGTCCCTCCGTCCGTTGAGGCCGCGTCGCCGAGGCGCTCCGCTCGGCCCGGCTCGTCTCGGCCCGCGGGCGGCGGGAGGAACCGGAGGAGGACGGGGGAGCCGCCCCGGGCGGCAGGTTGAGGTAGGGCCGCCGTAGGGCCGCCGTAGGGCCGCCGTAGGGCCGCCAGGCCGCCCCCCGGGCCTGCGCGGCGCTGAGGGGCCGCACAAAATGGCGGCCGGGGCGGCGGGCCGGGAGCTGCGTTCGGAGCCCGCAGGGCGTTTGTGCGCGGCGAGGCGCGGCGCTGCTGCCGGGCTCCGTCTCCGGTCGGTCGGGGAGCCCCGGGGGCCGCATCCCTCGGCCCGCATCCCTGGGGCCCGCGCAGCCTCAGGAGCGCCGAGAGGAGCCCGAAGCCGCGGTTGCTCTCGTTTCCCTCGGCGCAGATCAGATGATCGCTGCGGGCGGTTCGTCCCGTGGCGGCTCGGCGTCGTGCTGATGTCTCGCCGTGCCCGCGGGCCCTGCTGGGTCGCTGCCCTTAAAGGGGCCTCAGGGCTGCGCGCGGTGCTGAGGGCTGCGCGGCTCCCGAAGGGTTTTTCCAACCTGAGGGCTGTGCTGCTGTAGCGATCTGTGTTGGGCTGCCTGTCAGGCATGCAGCTGTGCTGCTTCACTATTTAGGGTGGTAGAGAACGGCCTGGGTTGAAAAGAGCCACAGTGATCATCTACTTCCCACCCCCTGCCGTGTGCAGGGTCACCAAGGGACCCATGGATCCCCCCGTAGAATCACAGAATGGCCTGGGTTGCAAAGGAGCACAATGCTCATCCAGTTCCAACCCCCTGCTGTGTGCAGGTCGCCAACCAGCAGCCCAGGCTGCCCAGAGCCACATCCAGCCTGGCCTTGAATGCCTGCAGGGATGGGGCATCCACAGCCTCCTTGGGCAACCTGTTCCAGTGCCTCACCACCTCTGGCTCAAAAACTTCCTGCTCATATCCAACCTAAACCTCCCCTGTCTCACTTTAAAACCATTCCCCCTTGCCCAATCAGTGTCCACCCTCACAAACAGCCGTTCCTCCTCCTGTTTTTACACTCCCTTCAAGTACTGGAAGGCCTCAATGATATCTTCCCGGAGCCTTCTCTTCTCCAAGGTACTTGTTTCAGTGCAGCAATGAGGTACAGCTGGTTAAATTCTTTAGGTTTATTTTCAGAGAGATGGTAGGGGCCTTCAGGAGTTGTCTGTTCCCTCCACCCCGCACTGAGCAGGGACATGCAGCTCCAGCAGGAGCCCTGAGCCCCGTCTTGCCTGCATGGCTCATGGGATGGAGCTTCCACCACGTCTCTGGGCAGCCTCTTCCTGTTCTGTTTCTCCGTGGAGTCACTGGAAAAGAGCACTGAAGGGGCACAGCACCACGATCCTTATGGGTTCCTTTTCTCTTGGGATGTGCTGTGGTTCTGTGACAAAAACTCAGTGTGTGTTTAGAAGGCCAGAAAGCAGCGGTCGCCCTCATGATCCACAGCCCAGCCCCGCGCTCAGCTCCAGGCTCAGCCTTCCTGCTGTGTGCTCATGGCTCTCACAGCTGAAACGAAGTCCTGGCGCTGCCCTGAGCTGTGCTGGAGGGTGGATGCTGTGAGGTAAGGAGAAGCACTCCTCGGGGGCAAGGAGTATCTTGCATTGCATCGCATTCTTTCCCAATCCTTTAAGAGCCTCCTGCCAGAAAAAACAGAGCAGCGCACGCTGGAGGGGTGGGGATGTGCTGCTCTCAATGACAAGTTGGAGTGAGAGCTGTTTATCCTGGGGTGGGGCTCCATGTTGCCTACAAAACGTTCCTTTCCCCTGCCCAAATGCTGTGTGGTTGGGTGCAGGCTGGGTTCTGCAGGGCTCCAGCACCCCGTATGGTTCTGCCTGCGGACAGGGAGCAGCGCGGAAATGCTCTTTCAGGTGTAAAGGTAAATGAGATGGTTTCTTATTTCCTTGCCATCGGGGTGTTTTTCTGAACGGAGCTGGGTGCTTTTTGTAGGGATTTTGAGGCTGAAGTGTTGGTGTGCAGAACTCTGCGTGCCTCAGAGCTGTTGTGTGTGGATGTGTGCATGAAGGAAGCAGTGCAGGATTTGTGCTGCTCTGCAGTTTCACACGGAAGGTGGAATTTGGAAAAGACACCCATTCTTGTTGTGGTATTCCATAACAGTGCTGAAGCATTGTTGGCCTTCTTGTGAGGGTTCCTTTCTGGAAGACTGACACAGACTTCCTTCTGTCTGGATGTAAAGAGCTCTAACGCGACAGGTGCTGGGAGGGAACCTATGGCAGCATCAGAGAGCCGTAGGTTTTTATTCTTGTACCTCTAGGCCACCTTTATCTTACCTGTGAGTTTTCTCACCACTTCTTGCTCTCTTTCTTCCCCTTCCTTGGTCCTGCTGAGGTGGGAGGGGCTCGGCTGCAGCCTTTGGGGCACGGAGATAACTTGGATTGGAGCGGGCTGGACGGAGCATACTGCTGCTTGGTGGGGTGTCCACAGCCATGGAGGGGCTTGGCCTGTCTTGTCTGAAGCAACTGGAGCAGGAAGCATTGCAGGAGAGCTAGGAGAGACGGATCGAGCCCTGCGGTGGAGCAGCAAGCTGCTTTCTCTGCTTCCTCTAAGGACTGGCATCTGCTCCTCTCAGTACTGAGTGACTCTGGTGGCTGAGAACCGTCTGAGTGTGAATGGACTGGCAGCTCAGACTTACCTCGCTGGGGGTTGCGTGGCCAACAGAGACCCCTGCTGAGGACTCCCAAATGTGGAATACCAAACTGCACAGACACAAAGGAGCTGCTGTCCCGAGGGCAGCCCTGCACAGCCCGACTCTGTGATGGTGAGCGTGCGTGTTTGCCTTCCAACCCACATCCATGGGTCAAGAGCCCCAGCCTGGAACAGCACTGGATCCGAAGGGTGGTGAAACCTCTCCGTTTTCTGTCTCTCTCTCCCCTTCTCTCTTTTTTCTTGAGTGTCTTTTACTCGTTTCCCTTTGGTAGCTGTGGCCTAATTTTGCCTTAGAGTTGTTGATAAGGAAATGAAACGTCTCCCTGTTTTGCTCTGCCTGGGCAGCTTGCAGAAGAAGCAGCACCTGGGGCCCGTCCTCGTCCTGGCGCTGCGTGCGCAACAGCTGCACCTTCCTCCTCCTCCTCCTCCTCCTCCTCCTCCCCCCCTCTGGGATGGATCCTGCCAGCTCCCTGCAGTGGCTTTCAGTTTCTCAGCCTCCTGAAGCATTTCTACTGCTGTATGCTGCCTGTTGTCCCTGCCCAGGGGATGGAACTGCAGGCCCTGTGTCACCATGGAGAGGACTCAAAGATCCTGGGGTGGTGCCATCTCAGACCTCAGTGCCATGGATGTGGACTGTGGGGGGAGAATTGAAGCTGGAAAGGGTCCATGCAGGAATACTGCTGCATGGGCTGCTGTCAGGCATGTCTGCAGGTGCAGCAGGAGGGCTGAGGTCTCCGTAAGGGACTCCTGTTTGCAGTTCCAGCAGTCGGTGCTCCGATGAGGAGCAGGGCCCTGTTTCTTTCTGGGCTGGTTTTACTGGGCTTTGTGGCAGAAATCTGGTGGTGGCTGACTGGAAGCACAGCGCTTGGTGTTGTCAGGGACTGCGAGAGCAGCACCTGAATGGCTTCAGTACCCCACCAGCATCACTGTGTGGGGCAGCACAGCAGGGGAGTTGCTGGAGAAGGGAAGAGACTCCTCGAGGTCCTTGGGAAGGCTGCTTTGCTGTGAAACAGTGAAATCAAGGGAGCTGCTTGGGGGATCCAGCTCTTGGGATGGACACAGCTACATCCCTAGCAATGCTAGGAAAGCTTTCCTTGGCACTGTGGGTTTCTGGTGAGCTTGTGCTCTGGGTTGTGACCGTGTGTGGCTGCTCTCTGCTGGGTAAGCTGAAAGATGAGCTGTTTGCAGGGTCCTGGCAGCAGGCATTCACACACATCCAGCAGGAGAGTGTTGCTGGGTTAGATGGTGGCCAGATCAGGCAGGCTGGGTTCCAATAGCACGTTCTGCACTGCAGCACAGAGCCACCCATGTGTTGTGGCTGCTGCTGAGCAGTGTGGGTACACAGCTGGGGGTGGGCAGGGGCCGGTTCTGGGCTGGGGAGGCAGAAGTGAAGGGTGTTGGCTTGGCTTTTGAGGCTGTGTGTTTTACAGCCCGTCCTTCTGTGGAAGGAGATGAGTGGCTGTGCTTTGTTTGCCTCTGTTTTCTTCTCTACCTCTGCTGGTGGCTGTGATGCCAGGGCTGGCGGTGGTGCAGGACACGGAGCAGTGGCTTCCAGCAGAGAGCTGTCAGTGAGCTGTGGGTTTGCAGGTAGGGAGTGGAGGGCTTCTGTGGTACTGAGCTCAGCTGAGCAGTGAGGATGCTGAGCATGGGGTCTGGACAGCGCTGCTGGCTGCCTCTGCACCACGCTCAGCTTCCCAGCTTGTTCTGTTGAAATGTAACTAGCACAGACCCTGGAAATTCAGCAGTGTTTATTGAGAGAAATCAGCAGCAAATTATCTTTCCACCGATTGTGCCAGACTGTCTGCAGGCCAAACCTTCCCTAGCGACTAGAGAAGAAGCAGCTTCCACGTTCTCCATGCGTCTCTTTGCCACTGGCTTTGCCGTGGCTTTGTTTAGTACAGCTTTGTTAGGGTCGCTGCCCACCTCCTGGAGTTGGGAGGTTCACCGGTGTGCAGTGTGCAGGCAGGAGGCAGAGCTGAGCTGTGCAGCCCTGCTCTGTTCTCCCTGTATCCACACGTTCTGTTGCACAGCGTTGAGCTCTCGCTGGTTTCAGCTGAAATAAAAGCCGATGGTTTCCGCTGCCATTCTGCATGTTGTATTCCCAATTTTGTACGACTTTACACCTTTCTATTTCAAGTTGTTTCAGTACCAAATCTTGCCTCACACATCTGCCAGATGGAGCTGCAGGCGCAGGATACGGCCACCACGCCCCGTGGATGCTTTCAGGATGCTGTAGTTCCCCATGGGAGCTGCCGTGGGAGTGTCCCACTGCAAGCCGTCCTGTCTGCAGCTCCACAGCCACCTCACGCCCAAACTGCCTCTGCTTTCATTTCTCTACACCACAATTTCACTTTGTGAAGCGTTCAGAGTGGGCTTCAAACCCTTTAGTTTACCGCTCATGAAACGGTGTGCACAATAATGTTGTTCTTAAAGACCTGAAATGTCAGGTTTTGGAAAATGCTGTCATCTCTGGGTTTGTTCTCTGTGACACTGAACGTGTTGGGTCAAACCTGTCTGCTTGGGAGCAGTCTGCTGGGTAAGGCTGTGTGAGCGATGGGAAACGCTGTTGTTGGCGGCTTTGTGAACTTGAATGTAGAAGTGCCATTTGAACTGCCATTGAAGTGCTGTTTTTTGACCTGCCCTGTTTTTCTCACTGGTTATAGAACCCACAGCGCGAAGCCGGTGCACCGCTGAACCATCTAACCCTTGTCTTTTAACTTTCAGCTTTGTGTTGTTCTTGGAAAGTTTCGCTCCACTTGTGAATTCCTTGAACCTTGGCATTGCCAGCCCTCTTGTGTTGGGCCCTCCTCCTTTTCAGCTTGCTCACATTAAGACCCAGTTGGCTCTGCAGCAGTTGACCACCAGCAGCTCCGCGCCTCCTCATGCTTACTTCGGCCGGGCCGTTCTGAAAAGCACCATGTTTAGCCCCAGAGGAGCGTTGCCACAGAGGCCGAGAGGACCCAACCCGTCCGCAGCGAAGCCCCCGGGATCCTTCCAGGGAGGGACGGGCCCGCAGAGACCCCCGGCCCCAGGAGCACCCCGGGGGGCAGCGCCGCGTGCGTCGGGGCAGGACAGCGTCCCGTGGACCGGCTCGCAGCGCATCAACGTCCGCGTCACCCTGCACAGGGCCGACCCGCGGCAGGCCAAGGCCAAGGGCAGCCTGCACCAGGAGCAGAAGGGAGACGTGCGTGTGGGCCGCTGGGACGGCAGCCCCTGCCCGCCCCCCCCGGTGGTCTCGCAGAAGCCCCCAGCCCGGCTCCCAGAGCAGAGTGCCGCAGCGCAGAACCGCTACACGCCGGAGAGCGCTTCCAGCATCTTGGCGAGCTTCGGGCTGTCCAATGAAGATCTGGAGGAGCTCAGTCGCTACCCGGATGACCAGCTGACCCCTGAGAACATGCCACTCATCCTCAGAGAGATACGGATGCGGAAGATGGGCCACCCTTTGCCTGGCCTGCATTCCCAGAGCCGAGGAGAAGTGATGAGTGGGACGAGCGGCGTGGCCATCAAGGGCAAGGTGATTGATTATGGGCACGCAAGCAAGTACGGGTACACCGAGGATCCTCTGGAGGTGCGTGGTTACAACATGGAAATGCTGAGAGAGGAGCCTCTGGATGCACGGCCCTACAACCCCGAAGTGCCAAGCGGAGAGAAGAGGGAAGAGTTCCACCGAGAGCAGAGCATGCCCATGGGCGTCCCGCCGGCCGGCATGGCGTGCGGCCCGGCCTTCCCTCCTCAGGACGTCATGAAGCCCCCGCCGGCTTTCCAGAGCGACCCGGCTAACCCTCACCCATTTTTCCCAGCAGAGCCAGCGGGGAAGGCGGGCGGGCTGTGCGCGGCGCCCGTGGGGAAGGCCGGCCCCCCGCCTGCGGTGCTGCCCGTCATGCCGCCCATCCTGCCGCTGGCCGTGCCGCCCATGGCGCAGCCCGTTGTGCCGCCGCTCATCTCGCAGCCCGTCGTGCCCGTCATCCCCCAGCCGCCCTTCTCGGCAGAGCTGCTGGCCATCCTGGAGCAGCGGGACAGGATCCAGCATGAGGCCGGGAGCAGCCAGCCCAGCGCCCAGAGCTCCGGGATGGGGCAGAAGCCCTTCCAGACGCAGCCCGAAGGGCCCATTAAATCCCCCTTTGGCGTTGTGAAGGCGTCGTGGCTCCCGTCCTTCCTGCAGTCTGACTCCCAGAAGATCAAACGGTTGCCCACCCCGTCAATGATGAATGACTACTATGCGACGTCGCCGAGAATATTCCCACATATGTGTTCTCTGTGTAACGTAGAATGCGCTCGTATGAAGGTGAGTGTCTTTACAGATTATTGCCATAGTTGTACCCAGCTCCTTACCCGCTGCTCTGTGTGGTGAGCTGATGTTTTACTGGCTGTGCTGCTGCTCAGCAGTCTGAGTGCTGATGTGCCGATGTCAGACTGTGAGAGGCGGTGTCGGTGCAGGATTAGCACCGTGCTGCACAGCGTGCTCTGTTTCAAACCTTGTGCGCGTTGTTTGGGTTGCTGTCATGTTAAAAACAAGGTCTGCCTTTGGATTTCAAGCAGCAGAACAAACCCTTCGTCACCTGCTGAAACCATTGACGTTGCCTGGTTGTCAGCAGTGCTGTGCTGACCCAGCAGGGCAGGTGAGATGTTGGTGCGCTCAGCCCTGCTGCTGCAGAGCCGACGCTGACAGAGTGCTGCTTGTCTGTGCAAACATCACCTTCCAGGCGTGCCCTGCGTGGCGTTGGCTGTCCCAGGGATGACTCCCAGCTGTGAGCAACGCACGCAGCCCTCCATCCATCCATCCATCCATCCATCCAGCTGGGCTGTGGAGCTATGAGCAGCATCAACCCTTGGAAGAAGAGGAAGGAAGAAGAGAGAGAAGAGAATCCTGAAAGCTGTAGGTGTTCCTTGAAGGAGCTGAGCTTGATGTGTCAAAACCCCCAAGAACGTAACTTGAAATAACAGTATGGTTTGTTATTAGTTCTATGCGTTGAAATTTGAAGTAGCTTTCCACAAACAGGAAGCCTGTGGGGGCAAAACCGTGCAAGGCTGCTGCATTTCAGACGGTGAGTAGCTGCTGCAGCGCTGACAGCTGCACCAGGGACGTCGCAGTGCTGAAGCTCTCCTGGTCAGGAAGAAATGCAGCAGGACAGTGGGTTGGGAAACTGAAGGGGAAGCTCCATTTCAGAGAAGAACGTCTAAAATGGAACAGGTAACAAATGAAGATTTGTGTTAAGCAGTGGGCAGAGCGCTTGGGGAGATGCCCTCTGTTCCTGTGTGAGCTGTTGAAGCACTGAGCTTCCTCCTGCTCGATGGATTGCAAGCACTGCCAGAGGAGCTGAGTTTTCCTTGGAGCTGTGGGGCTGTGGCTTTGTGTCCCAGTCTGGGTTCCCACATTGACATCACCGCCTTTCCTCCCTCCTTGAGCTGAGCTGAGGGAGCACAGAGCTTCTTTTGGGAGGTGGCAGTTCCTGCTGTGTGGGGCCGAGATGCCACGTGTGGCGTTGAGATGCTGTGCTACAAAGTGCTGCCTTTGTGATGGGGCAAACTGGGAAGGTTTGATCGTGGAATTGCCAAGGTTGGAAGAGTCCTCTGAGAGCACCAGGTCCAAGCTCCACTATTTCCCCACTGACTGAGTCCTGTAGTGCAACATCTGGATATCTGTGGTGTGTTTGGAAAGAAGAAGCACAGTGATGGCTCACAGCAGTGATGGCTCACAGCACAGCAGGTGCTGAGTTATGGAGAGGATGGAGCATATAGAATGAGAAGAACCTTCTTATCCAGCACTAAAAGAGACTCCACGTCTAACAGCAGAGTTACAGCATTGCTCAAATGACAGACTCGGAGTTCAGAGCGCTCATGATGAGCATTTATTTTGTTGTGACTCTTTGGCAGTGCAGTCCCACACGGCTGCATTGCCCATGGAGGACAGCCCATGTCAGAGCCGTGACCCCCCTGCTCCATCTCTGCATCCCTGGGCTGTGTCCCTTTGGCCCCCCAGCCTGCCTATCCCACATGGAGCCCAGCCTGACGTACCCTGCAGCATCTGCCCATTTTTCTTGGGTATTTAACATTGCTCGTTAACGAGCTTGGATGAAACCAAAGCTCAGAGAGATCTCAGCATATCAAAAACGAGAGCTCTGTCTGGAGTGCCGCACACCTAAATATGTCTGTGCTTCTCATTCTGTCATCTGAGCACAGCTTGGATGCCTCTCCATGGAGCTGCCTGCACCTGCGGGCAGCACTCAGTGTGGCACAGCTCTGCTCTTGGAAGAGACCCACGAGAAGCCCTGCAGTGCTGCTGTGAGGCACAGTGCACTCCTCCTGTACACAGTGGGTCAGCAGAAGCACGTTTGTGTCCTGATGAAGAATTATCCTGTCCTTTGTAAGTTGGAATCTCACCTTGCTGTTCTCTGCAGGACTATTGACAGCCTCCCCAGCAGGGTAAAGCACGTTGTGAACGGTTCTCTTTCACTTCAGTAGTGGCTGTAGTGGAGTACTGAAATGTGATTTCTGCCTTCAGCCACCTCATTTCCAACCCACGTGGAATGGTAACACTCAGCAGCAGCTCTGCACCCCCAGCTCAGCACCACACCTTCACAGAGTCACAGAATGGTTGGGTTGGAAGGGACCTCAAGGATGATGAAGCTCCAACCCCCTGCCACACGCAGGGCCACCAATCTCCACATTTCACAGCAGCCCAGGCTGCCCAGGGCCCCATCCAACCTGGCCCTGAACACCTCAGGGATGGACGGGGCATCCACAGCCTCTCTGGGCAGCTGTTCCAGCACCTCACCGCTCTCACAGCAAACAACTTCCCCCTCACATCCAACCTTGCAGTGCTTGCTCTTTGTTTTAACAGATGGATGGTGAGGCTCCTGGGCTGGGTGATCCGCAGAGGTCCCTGCAGCCCTCACCAGTGCTGGGACTGCTCCTGTGGTCACTGCTGGAGGGGGCCAGGAGTCGGCTGGAGAGGAGGAATACACACAGATGGAGGGAGGCTCCTGTAGTGGTGTGAGGAGTGAGGATGCATTGCTGCAGTGAGGGCTGGAAGAAGAGAAGGATGTGAGCTTGTTGGGAAGGAGGATCTCTGTGTGAGCTGAAGAATGGGATTGCTTTCCAGCAGCACAGCTGGGGTGCACAGAGCTCATAGTGCTGCACTGCTGCTCCTGGTGCTGTGTGTGTGCTGTGCACGCAGTGCTGCTGTGGGCCGGCAGTTGTTCCTTCAGCCTGCTCCCAGCCCTTCCCTCGCTGTGACATACGGACTCACTGATACTGCTTTAGGAACTGGAAATAACTCTGGTTTCCTTACAAGCACCCAACCAGTGGTGTGCTGGCACGTGGTGTTCCCCCACTGGCATGCTTTGAGGAAGCCATCACCAACTTTCCATCGAAGCACCATGTTGGCCCTTCAGCCCATGAGCAACTTCCTGCCAGCTGAGTGCTTTGTGGAGTCTTAGAATGGTTTTATTGTCCTTTGTTAGCAACCAGCGTGCGATTGGAAGGGCTGTGTGTGCTGTCAGGGCAGCCCTGGTTTGTGAGATGGCTGCTGTGCTCCCATAGCAGCGCAGTGGGTGCTGCCTGCAGCGCTCAGTGCTTGTCCCACTGCCAGCCTTTCAGCAGCAGGTTCAGTTCCTGTCATCAGCTCACTGCTGTCACTTTGAGGACAGTCGTTGTGCAGAGCTACCCGTGCTGTTGTGCTTTCCTTGAGCCACGTGAGGAGTTCCCAGCTCTGAGGGCTGGCTCTGTGGGTCTGGGTTTGTGTTGTGCTTCACCCCCCTCCCCTCCAAGCAGGGTTTTGTTCACAGCTCTCCTACAGAGCAATTGCTGGGGCTGGTGAGGTTTGTGGGACTTGTTAATGACCTCTGGGTGCGAGGTGTGGCTGGCAGTGATGGTGCTGGGCAGGTAAGCCACGCTTTGCTGGAGCACTCAGGGCCCTCCTGGTGGTGCATTGTGTTGGCAGCTCAGCACAGCACGCGGGCTCATGCAGCCCAGCAGCCACGGAGGCAGCTATGCTCTGTGTTCTGCAGCAGCCTCTCCCAGTCGTTGTGTGTTTCATCTCTTGCACCAAGAATGCTGATGCCAGGAGAGCAGTCTGGCCTCGCCTTGCTGGTGGGACTGGCTGGCGATGGGAGGGGAGGCACGATGGCACTGCAGCTTGTGGCCGACATGGGCGTGCCGTGTGCTCACCCACCCCCTGTGCCTGTGTTCTCTCCCCCTAGGACTGGATCCTGCACCAGAACACCCCTTCCCACATCGAGAGCTGCCGCCACTTACGACAACAGTAAGGCTTTCGTTTCAAAATGGGGGGAAGAAGTGTTTTCTGTGCACGGGGGTCCTGCAGGTGGGGTTCCCTGTGTGTAACTGAGCCCAGTGTGGGGTGGGGGTGGGGTGGGTGTCTGGGAATTGGGCTGCAGTGTTCTTTGGGGGCTGCATTTGGGTGAAAATGGGATCTCCTCGCTGACAGCTGTGTTTCTGACACCCACAGGTACCCCGATTGGAACCCCGAGTCTCGCTCTTCAAAGCGGTAACCACTCCTTGATTACAGCTTCTTCTTAATTTGCTGCTAGTGGTCATTAACACCATTCGTTTTCCAGCTTTGTTTACTGCCAGGCTGTATTGGCCTTGCTGTTCCCTTTCTGTGGTACAATCACATGGGCCATCAGAGCAGCTTTTGTCCTAAATTCCTTAACAACACCAGTGTTGTGTTAACACAGAACTCCTCGAGCCAGCTCAGCAGAGCAGCTAAACGAATCTCAGTGAGTTTGGGTTACTTTATTGCTTCGATGCATGTACATATTTCAACTCAAATGCAAATAGGAGCAATGGGGCTTTTGCTTTTGCTGCTGTCCCGTGGCTTCCCATCGATTAAACATCCTGAGAAGCTGAATACTGAGTTAACAACAGCAAAAAAAAAGCACAGAAAAACTGAAAACAAAGTCAGGTTAATTTGCAGAGTGTGCCCAAAGTCTCTCCGAAGGGCTCCTTAGTGTTAGATCCCTCAGGCTCTGCCTGGTTGGGGCGTTCTGGAGCAGGGTGTGTGTTTGGCACTGCAGGACTCAGTATGTGCAGGGAAATGGCAAGGCGCAGGCCGCGCTGCTGTGGCTTGGTGCGTGCGCTGGCTCACCTGGAATGCTTTGGGTAACACTGCTCAGAGGGCTGTGGGGCCCTGGGCAGCCTGAGATGGTGGGGGGTGGGAATGGGGGGGATTTGGGATCCCTTCCAACCCAACCATAGTGATTCTGTGCTTCTGTGATCTTTGAGGAATCTTCCAACCCAAGTCAAGTCATTGCGTGGTTCTGTGACTTCTAGGGACCCTTCCAACCCAACACGAGCTTTTCCGTGGTTCTATGATCTGTGAGGTCCCTTCCAATCCAACCCATGCCGTTCCATGGTTGTTGTTCTTGAGATCCCTTCCCAACATCAAAATTCTCTGGTTCTATGACCTTTAAAGAAACTTCCAACCCAACCCCAGCATTCCATGGTTCTGTAACATTCAAGGACCATTCCAACCCCAGCATTCCATGGTTCCATGATCTCTGAGGTTCTTTCCAACCCAACCCAAGCCATTCCATGATTGTAGTCTTGATATCCCTTCCATCACAAGGTTCTATGACCTTGCAGGACCCTTCCAACCCCAGCATTCTGTGGTTCTATGACCTTGCAGGACCCTTCAAACCCAAGCATTCCATGGTTTTATGACCATGCAGGACCCTTCCAATCCCAGCATTCTGTGGATCTATGACCTTCAAGGAGCCTTCCAAACCCCGCATTCCATGGTTCTATGACCTTCAAGGACCCTTCCAACCCCAGCATTCCATGGTTCTATGACCTTGAAGGACCCTTCCAACCCCAGCATTCCTTGGTTCTGTGACCTTCAAGGACCCTCCCAACCCTAACCATTCTATGGTTCTATGACCTTGAGGGACCCTTCCAACCCCAGCATTCGGTGGTTCTATGACCTTGCAGGACCCTTCCAACCCCAGCATTCCATGGTTCTATGACCTTACAGGACCCTTCCAACCCTCACCATTCTATGGTTCTATGACCTTGAAGGATCCTTCCAACTCCAGGATTCTATAGTTCTATGACTTTTAAGGACGCTTCCAACCCCAGCATGCCATGGTTCTGTGACCTTCAAGGACCCTCCCAACCCTAGCCATTCTATGGTTCTATGACCTTCAAGGACCCTTCCACCCCCAGCATTCCGTGGTTCTGTGACCTTCAAGGACCCTTCCAACCCCAGCATTCCATCGTTCTATGACCTTGCAGGACCCTTCCAACCCCAGCTTTCCGTGGTTCTATGACCTTGCAGGACCCTTCCAACCCTAGCCATTCTGTGGTTCTATGACCTTGCAGGACCCTTCCAACCCCAGCATTCCGTGGTTCTATGACCTTCAAAAACCCTTCCAACCCCAGCATTCCGTGGTTCTATGACCTTGCAGGACCTTTCCAACCCCAGCATTCCATGGTTCTATGACCTTGCAGGACCCTTCCAACCCCAGCATTCCATGGTACTATGACCTTGCAGGACCCTTCTAAACCCAGCATTCCACGGTTCTATGACCTTGAAGGACCCTTCCAACCCCAGCATTCCGTGGTTCTATGACCTTGAAGGAACCTTCCAACCCCAGAATTCCGTGGTTCTATGACCTTCAAGGACGCTTCCAACCCCAGCATGCCATTGTTTGATGACCTTCCAGGATCCTTCCAACCTCAGCATTCCATGGTTCTATGACCTTGCAGTACACTTCCAACCTCAGCATTCCGTGGTCCTATGACCTTCAAGGACCCTTCCAACCCCAGAGTTCCATGGTTCTCTTGTTCTATGACCTTGAAGGAGCCTTCCACCCTAGCCATTCCTTGGTCCTATGACCTTCAAGGACCCTTCCAACCCTAGACATTCTAGCTTTTCTTTAAGGACCATTCCAACCCCAGCATTCCGTGATTCTATGTCCTTGAAGGACCCTTCCAACCCTAGCCATTCTGTGGTTCTATGACCTTCAAGGACCCTTCCAACCCCAGCATTCCATGGTTCTCGGACCTTCCAGGACCCTTCCAACCCCAGCATTCCGTGGTTCTGTGACCTTCAAGGACCCTTCCAACCCCAGCATTCCACGGTTCTATGACCTTGCAGGACCCTTCCAACCCCAGCATTCCGTGGTTCTATGACCTTGCAGGACCCTTCCAACCCCAGAATTCCATGGTTATGTGACCTTCAAGGACCCTTCCAACCCCAGCATTCTATGGTTCTATGACCTTCAACCTCCCTTCCAACCCCAGCATTCCATGGTTCTGTGACCTTTCAGATCCCTTCCAACCCCAGAATTCCATCGTTCTATGACCTTGCAGGACCTTTCCAACCCCAGCATTCCATGGTTCTATGACCTTGCAGGACCCTTCCAACCCTAGCCATTCTGTGGTTCTATGACCTTCAAGGACCCTTCCAACCCCAGCATTCCATGGTTCTCGGACCTTCCAGGACCCTTCCAACCCCAGCATTCCACGGTTCTGTGACCTTCAAGGACCATTCCAACCCCAGCTTTCCGTGGTTCTATGACCTTTAAGGACCCTTCCAACTTTAGCATTCTCTTGTTCTATGAGCTTGTAGGACCCTTCTATCCCTAGCCATTCCATGGTCCTATGACCTTGAAGGACCCTTCCAACGGTAGAGATACTACCGTTCCTTTAATGACCCTTCCAACCCCAGCATTCTGTGATTCTATGACCTTGCCATACCCTTCCAACCCCAGCATTCCGTGGTTCTCTGACCTTGCAGGACCCTTCCAACACCAGCATTCCATTGTTCTATGATCTTGCAGGACCCTTCCACCCCCAGCATTCCGTGGTTCTCTGACCTTCAAGGACCCTTCCAACCCCAGCATTCCATGGTTGTTTGACCTTTAAGGACAGTTCCAGCCCTACCCCAGCATTGCATGGTTCTTCTATCTTTTTGATCCCTTCCACCCCGTCCCATTCAGTGACTGTTTAATTACCCTCTGCGCACTGACCAGCAGCCTCTCTTTCCTCAGCAATGCTGCGGACAGGAAGGAGAACCAGACCCCGAAGCACCGCTGCAACTCGGCCAGCCCCGGCCCCAGGCGCCCGCGTCCCGCAGGCTGCAGCCATGCTCCGCGCCACTCGCGCTCGCGCTCCAGGAGCCCGGGCCGCTACCGCCCTGCGCGGCCCCGGAGCCGCAGCCCGCGTTCGGCGCGCCGCCTGAGCCCCAGGCACTGGTCGCGGTCCCCGCAGAGGTCCAGGAACCCCCTGAGGGGCAGCCCGCGGCCGCAGCGCTCCTCCAGCAATGACTGGTCGTCGAGGAGGAGCAGCAGGTCTCAAGGTGCCGCGAGGGCGCTGTGCGTTGGACGGGTCGTGGGCGCGGGGTGGGCGTTCGGGAGGTTCTCATGGAGGATTCGCTTGTAGTGAAGGGGTGGTGGCTGAAAGGCTTTCGGTGGGCACTGCAGCACCTCTGCTGTGAGGACAGGCTGGGGGAGCTGGGCTTGTTCAGCATGGAGAAGAGAAGCTGCGGGGTGAGTCATTGCAGCCTGCAGTATTAAAGGGAGCCTACAGACAGGAGGGGAGTCAGCTCTTGAGAAGGGGAGATGACAGCAGGACAAGGGGATGGTTTGAAGCTGAATGAGGGCAGATTTCAGTTGGATGTCAGGGGAAATTCTTCACTGTGAGAGCGGTGAGGTGCTGGAACAGCTGCCCAGAGAGGCTGTGGATGCCCCGTCCATCCCTGGAGGTGTTCAAGGCCAGGTTGGATGGGGCCCTGGGCAGCCTGGGCTGCTGTGAAATGGGGAGGTTGGTGTCCCTGCATGCAGTGGGGGGTTGGAGCTTCGTGATCCTTGAGGTCCCTTCCAACCCAAACCATTGTGTGATTCAGTGGAGCATCCTAGGATGCGGTTCAGTTTGTTGGGCTGCCCAGTGGCTCTCTGCTCAGCTCTCTGCTCAGTAGCTGTAGGAAATGGTGAGTAAATCCAGCCAGCGTGGTCTCTGCCCAAAATACTGCAGTGTTGGAGGTTTTGTTGGCTTTGTGGTTCGTCAGCTCTAAGGATACAAACTGCAAGAGAGCTCCTGGGGGAGAGAGGTTGGGGCAAACGGTTGGGATCATAGAATGGATAGAATCACAGAATGGCCTGGGTTGAAAAGGAGCACAGCGATCATCTGGGTTCAGCCCCCTGCTGTGTGCAGGTTCCAGCCAGCAGCCCAGGCTGCCCAGAGCCACATCCAGCCTGGCCTTGAATGCCTGCAGGGATGGGGCATTATTTCCACTGATCTCCACCAAAGGACATCGTACAGGAGATTGAAGGTGTCAGATCATTGAAAAGTGGCACAAGAACATCAGGTCTGGAGGAAACTGAAGCTGCAGGGACCCGAGCAGCAGTAGAGATAAAGCAAAGACAAAACCAAGCTCCTTTTCCCTTCTCTTGGCAGACAGGAAGGCAGCTCTGGAGGCGGTGATGAAAACGTTGGGACCCGGCTTTGTGGCAGAGTTCAACAAGCACAAATCATCGCAGGCATCCACGCCTGGAGCATCGGGCTCAGGGAAGTCAGCGCCCTCTCATGGCGCAGCAGGGAAGGTGCCTGGGAATGGGAAGAAAACCCCAAAAACGAGCGTTGCTGTGAAGGCTGTAAAGAAGGAGGCGGTTCCTCTGCCTGCATCCGGCTCCTCTCCCCAGAGTGATGAATTGCCCCAAGAGAAGGAGGTGGAGGAGGAGGAGGAGGACCCACCTGCAGGGCCCAGCAGGCCTCGTGCTGCTCCGTATAACCGGGTGATTATTGATGTTGTGCTCTGCCATTCTCGGTAGGTCCTGGCCTCTGATGCGGGGAGATAGCATTGAAAGGAGGGCGGTGGGGCTGAGCAGCTGCTCACCCATACAGCTGGGTGGCAGAGGTGCTAAGCTCTAGGTCGAAGCAGGAAGGCTGTGTGTAGCTGTGCGAGCTCAGCCGTGCTGTGCGGTGCCTTGTGCTGCACACAGTGCTGCTGTCCCTGCCCGTGGCGTTGTGGCAGCAGGACGATCTGTGAGCGAGCTCCCTTCCAGCTCAGACATTCTCCATTTGGCACAGCGGGTTTCCCTTGTGCCCAGAAGGCCAGACCTCGAGCACTGCAGCACGGAGTGGTCTGTCTGCTTTGGGCTCAGGGCGCGTCCTCCTGCCTCTTGGTGGAGTAGACGTGGGAAGTGCTGATCTTTAGTTTTGTCTTCAATGTGCAGCTGTTGAGAGAGGAACTGCTGAACTGTGGGACGGTCCTTCAGATCTCCAACTTACCAGACGATGGCTTTTCAGACCAGGACATCAAAAAGATTGTGCAGCCTTTCGGCAAAGTCAGCGACCTGATCGTGCTCCGCTCCAGGAACAAGGTCAGTCCCCTGCCAATGGAACGGGCAGAACCGAAAACCTCTTTCTGGATCCTCAGCTCACCCTTCTGGGTAGGAGTTCAGAAGTGGGCTGTGTGGTTTAGCTGGGGGCGTGCACTGCTGTACTGCGTGCTGCTGCACGAGGAGCTGGGCTGCTTTATCCAGGCCTCAACACTGAACGTAGGGAGGAACACGGGAGGTTGTGAGCAGGTCCTGCAAAGAGCTGCAGCAATCAAGGCTGACGGTGCCTTTGTTTTAGGCCTACTTGGAAATGAACTACAAGGAGGCAGTGATAGCAGCTGTGAAATATGGTGAAACTGTGCCAGTGCTGGTGAATGGGAAGCAGGTGAAGATCAGCGTCGCAGAGAAGCCCAAGGCATCTCCCAGCCAGGTAATGGTGTGCTGCTGAGCACTGCGTGCGTTTGGCCTGCTGGTTTGATCCCCCATTCCAGCTTGATGTTTTTCTCAGTTAAATTGCCATCTGCAGGGGTTTAACAGTGAGAGGAGCAACCTGTGTGAATGGGCACTGACGTTCCTCTTTCTGCCTCCTGCAGGCCAAAACAAGTGTCAAAAAGAAGACTCGGACCATCAAGAAAGTGGCCCCAAGCACCAGGTAAGTCCTGCCATTACCTCCATCGGTGTCCCTGCTCCTTAGAACCACTGCAAACTAAACGGATTCGCGTTTTCTTTTTGAGTTCTGCTGGTTTGGGAACGTGTTTAGCTGCTCACATTCAGCAGTTGTATTTGAAACTCAGTTGTCTTTATTTTTTTCCCCTCCTGCTCTTAATAGAAAACACCCAACCACCTCCACCACCAGCTCCAAGACAACAAAAACGATTGCAGGTGAGGTTTTGTCCACCTCTCATCTGTGATATCTCCTCTGTTGCCTTCTCAATTTGTTGCCATCTCTCTGGTTTTCTGTGAGTGCCTTTTTCCAGTGAAGTGAGAGCTGTTCTGGGCTGTCCATCCCAGTGCCTTCCTTGGGTGGAGCCCTACTGTACTGACTTGAAACAGCAGCCCACAAAAACCTTCAGGCACCACCAGGAGATGCAGTAATCAGTCTGTGCCTGTACTCTGTAACTTCAGCTGTCTGTCTGTCTGTGGTAACACGTGGCACTTCATCCTCCATCAGAGTAGTTCACAGTCCTGGAAGGAGGAGGAAGCAAACCTTCTGCAGCCGTTTGGTCAGCAGAAGCTGAGATGAGCTCAGCACCAAAGCTGCTGTACTTTTGGCTTTCCTTCATGTCTGCTGTTGGTTACCATACAGGGTCAGTTTTGGTGCTTTTTGGTCGTGGCTGCTGCAGATTGAGCTCTTCTCTGTGCGTTTTCACACTTCTGGTTTGAGTGTTCACAAATGTAAGACTGAGAGATAAGCATCCCTGCTGACTTGTGGCTGGATGTTCTCCTAGGCAAAAAGGAGAAGACCAAGAAGCCCGTGGGGACCAAAGAGAGTAAAGCCAAGACGACTTCAGACACTGCAGGTAAGACCAAGGAGGTCACACGGGGCTCTGGGGGCTGCAGGGAGGGGGGTGGTGCTGGGGCTGCTCCTGTGGGCACGTTTCCTCCTTCGCAGCACTGAGTGGGGATTTGCAGCAGGGGGATTTGCAGGGGGATTGCAGCAGGGGGATTGCAGCAGGACATCTCCAGCATTGGGCTCACAGCTCCGCTCTGTGCAGTGCACGGAACTGAAGAACCCTTTTTTCTGCTGCTTCCTTCCAGACCAGTCAGAAGAAAATGAATCAAAAGACCTTCAGAGCTCACCAGAAAGTGAGATGGAAATTGAGGAGGGTGAGCTGGTCGAACCCGGGAGCCCTGCAGAAGGGGACGATGGTGTCACAGAGCCCACGAAGGCAGGAGAGGCTCAGTCCGAAGCAGTGGGCAATCCTGCACCATTACCAGGTAATCCTGCTGTTAGAACTTTGCTTCTTGTCAGTGAAGTTTAATGCTGTGATATCTGGGGATTTTATTTTACTGTACTTTTGTAGAGAAAGCCGCCCAGGTGCTTCAGGAGGTGCCGCTGGGCTCGGATGGGCAGAAGGAAGCTTTAATTGATGGAGGTAAGCTGCAAACTGACAGGTTTCTTTCTCATTTCTGTCCTGAATCTCTGTGCTGTGGTGAAGTAAAGCAGCACAACGTTGAGGTGTTTCTTTGGTCTTCCTTAAGACTGTTCTTCCTGAGAGCTCTTGCACGTGGCTCTCTTGTTTGTCACCACGACAGCAGTGATAAAATGTTAAGGATAACACCAGATGTTCTTAGAGCTCTGCTGCAGCTGAAGAGACGTGCACAGCTACTGAAGTAACGCCCCTCTCCTGTTTGTTTTATTGAACAGAAGCTTCTGCAGTGACTGTGAAGAGCGAGGAAGCAGCAGAGCTGGGCAGCAAGGTCAGTGTGATGGGGCTCCGCTCTGGAGCTGCAGGCCTGGGGCTGCTTCCCTGCTTGTCTGCTGCCTGCAGGCCTCTGGTTGAAATGCTCTGCTGGTTTCTTGTGAGGAAGGGCAGCTTTGCTCCTGGCTGCAGATGCCTGGCCTTTCCCAGAGGGGCTGTGGATGCCCCATCCCTGCAGGCATCCAAGGCCAGGCTGGATGTGGCTCTGGGCAGCCTGGGCTTCTGGTTGGCGACCTGCACACAGCAGGGGGTTGGAACGGGATGAGGACTGTTGTCCTTTTCAACCCAGGCCGTTCTGTGATCCTTCCCCACGGTCTGCCCACTCTCGCTCATTGCCTTTCCAGCTGTTTCCACCTGGGGCTGGAGGAGGAGCCGTGACACTTCCCTTTGTTTGCAGGAAGCTGATGACGTATGCGTGGTTCTGGTTTCAAACCTGCCTGAGAAAGGATATTCAGTGGAGGAAGTTTCCAACCTGGCAAAGCCATTCGGAGGGCTGAGGGATGTGTTAATTGTGTCATCTCATAAGAAGGTATCACACTTTGGGGACAGTCCTACTGACACAAGCTGCAAATACGCCTTTAATGAACGTAGTGTGGCAAATGTTGGTCTGAGGGGGCTTTGTTAAATGGCTTTGTTAAAGGGCTTTGTTAAAGGGCTTTGTTAAGTGTCAGCCTCTGTTCATTGTGTTGCTTTCTTCCCTTTAAAAGGCTTATCTTGAAATCAACAGAAAATCTGCAGAATCCATGGTGAAGTTTTACACCTGCTTTCCCATGACGCTGGATGGGAATCAGCTGTGCATCACTTTGGCACCTCAGCACAGGAGTGTAAAGGATGAAGTAAGTGCTGAATGTGCTGATGCTGTGTGCTGACCCTGGAGTGCAGAGCAAGGTTCTGTGTTGAGCTGGCAGTTCTGTCCTGTCCTGGTGGAGACCAGTTCTGTTCAGTGTCTTTTTTGGTCCCCAAGGCCTGATGTTAACATGACATGGGTGTCACAAATGCACATTGTGCTCATTTTATTAATTAAGCAGGCAGAAAGAAGTCATTAGCATTAGTGTGACTGCTGGCTGGCTGCTGCTGGTGAAGCTGTGTTTTGCAGTTTCAATCTTACAGCTTTTCTTTCCCCCCTTCCAGGAAGCGATATTCACCGCTATCATCAAAGACTCTGACCCTAAGGTGAGTTGCTGCCAGTCCAGCTGTAAAAGTGCACTCGGCTTCCTCCTAAAATGGGAGCTAGCTCACTTATCTGAGACTGCTCTGGAATTAAATGTTTCTGTGTGCCTTCATGGGCCGACCAGCAAGGAGTAAATGCTGGCTGTAGCGTGGCAGCGATGGATGCTTTCTGTGGCATTCCCTTCCCCTGGCCTGCAGGCACTGCTGAGGCTGAGGCAGCCCATCCCTTGTCTTTAGGTGAATGCTGAGGTGGTGCAGCAGCAGTTTGTGCACCTGGGGAACTTACCAGAGGAGGGGTACAGAGAGTTCGAGGTGGTCTGCGTGGGGCTGCGCTTTGGGAAGGTCGATCATTACGTTGTGCTGAAGAACAGGAACAAGGTAAGCAGTTCCCTGTGCTGTGCTGCACCACCTTAATACAAACACACTGGGCTGTTCCTCTCACTGCCAGCAGTGTTTGGCTAACGACAGACGCAGAAAGGTCATAATGGCTGCTGCGTGCTTTGTTTTATTCATCCAATATTTCATGAGAGAGCTGGAAAGCTCTGATCCCGCGGTGCCTGATGGTCTCAAGGTGAGGAGCTGAGAGCTCTGCAGTGTGAGTGCAGTCTGGTTATTTTCATGGCCATACCCTTCAGCTTGTCCTGCAGGACAGAAATAAGGTAGAAGAGCGCTGTTTGAAGCTTGTCTTCCTTTGTTTCAGGCAATCCTGCAGCTGGAGAGTCCCAAGGCTGCCAGGTCCATGTTCTGCTTCCTGAACCAGTACTCGTACACCATGGGGGAGCACACCCTGACCTGTTCCTTGTCCCCCGGCAGGCAGCAAGCTGATGTAAGCTTTCTTTTCTCATTCTTACCTTATTGTGGCACAGAACAAGCTTTCCCCAAAGAGCAGCCAGTGGGGTAACGTGGTTTTGCATGAAGGAGGGGGAGCTGGGTAAGAGCCTTCGTGCCAGAGCCTGGTAGGGATGCAGTGCTGTGTGCTTGGCCTCCATGCCTGTCTCTCTTTTACAAACATTTGTTGGGTCTTTTTTGATTGATGGAATATTCCTTAAGGAAGGATGAGGAGAGAAGGGAAGAGAGCAGGGAAGCAGCTCCTTACTGCAGGTTAGAAAGGGGTTGATGGCTGAAAGGAATGGAGAAGCTCCGTTATTGCTTGCTTTTGTCTTCCAGCAGTTTGGCTACATTTGGTCCTTTTGCTTCAAGGCTTGGCTGCTCTGTCAGCATCACCTGTGGGCGGCAGCTCCTTCTGGTTTAGTTCCTCCAGTAAATAAATTTCCCTCTGTAAACAAAACAGTGATGCTTTATTTCACTCAGAGGCGGTGAGGCACTGGAACAGGTTGCCCAAGGAGGCTGTGGATGCCCCATCCCTGCAGGCATTCAAGGCCAGGCTGGATGTGGCTCTGGGCAGCCTGGGCTGCTGGCTGGCGACCTGCACACAGCAGGGGGTTGGAACTGGATGAGCATTGTGGGCCTTTTCAACCCAGGCCATTCTGTGCCATTCTGTGATGCCAACCTGTGTGGTTGGAGCTCAGCTGGGCTCTGTCAGTGGGACAGCCTGCACACTGCCTGTAGAATGCTGTTAGGAAAGAAATCTCAGTGCTTTTTTCAGGATCGCTTGGCCTTGTGCTACAGGCAGATGGCTGCAAAGCTTGGCTGGGTGCTTGTGTTTTTTCAGAAGTTATTTCATCTTAGGTAGTTCTGTACCACAGAACACAGAGTTAGCGAGTTTTATAGACCATAACTCTACCCAAAGCCACCTGGAAGGTGAGGCAATAAAAGCACAGCGATGCACTGCACGTCTTGACATCAGCAGCATTTCCTGCATGGCCTCGTGCCTCTGCTTGCTTACAGAGCAGAGTAGGTCTGGGGTGTAAGTGCTCTGTGCTGTGAGTGCTGTGCTGGTGCTCCTGGAAGCCACAGGTACTGAACCCCACTTTTACTTTGCAGCCTGAAGCTGTGAAAAAAGAAGTGAAGAAGGAGGAGCCGAGCAGAGGAAGGTAAGCCTTGCAGGTGGTTCTGAATGGCACAGACAGCTGAGATGAGCTGGGTGCTCTGTGAGCAAGTGTGATGGGGAGAGGTGCAGTGAGAGCTGTGTGGGTGGGCAGTGGGGAGGTGGGCTGCAGTCCTGTTCTGCAGGCAGTGTGCAGGGATGTGTTAATAACCACGGGCAGGGTTTTGCCACAGGTCCTGGGAGGTGTGCTTGGATTCCCATTGGTAAGATGCTTCCCTTGTGTCAAACCGAGGGATGTTCTGCTGCACTGTGTCACAGTGCTCTCCTGTCAGAGCTCCTGGCTCTGCTCTTTCTGTTCCCACTGCTATAAATACCCTGCAGCTTCCTCCTTTAACTTACTAACCTCTGCTTCGTGCTGTGATGCAGGTGCCTAAGTCGGTTTTCCAAATGTTTGGTGCTCTGTTAACATCAGAACTGGGAAATGGAGATTTTGGTGTGGTCCATTAAAAACTGAGTTACAGACATTGCTCGTGGTGAAACCTCTCATGGTGGAGTAGCTGTTGGTTGGTTTTTGTCTTGGTTCTGTTCTGGGAATGCTTCTGTAAGGGGATGGAGCATCACAAGGGCTCCTGGTGATGAATACGGCTGAAAACAGTGCGCGACTCAAACCTGTGTATCTGAGGGAGTTTTGTCCTTATAGCACCAACACAGATTTCCCTACCAAGGGTCTTCGTGTGATAGCATCACACCACTGCCACTGTGCTTCCACAAAGCTGTTTCTCTCATCCCCTGACTTCATGCAGCTTCCCCTGGTGCAATGAGGCAGGTGAGCCCTCGGGCTGTGCGCTGCTAATCCTAAACCAGAGCGTTGTGCTCCCACTGCTGCACAGCTCCTCTTCCTGCAGGTGAGGATCTGCACGTTCCTCTTCTGGGGCAGCCCTTCCTGGGAGGCAGAAATTATTTTAAACATTGTTCTGTCTGTGGGACCTCATCCTGCTTTCCTGCAGGAGGTGGAGCAGCACGAAGTTCCGCCCTGCTTACCCTCAGCATTGCAGCTCTCTCCAACAAAGGTCCATCAGCTTTCAGAAGGATGTTTTCCCCCAGCCCCGTGGCTGGGGCTGCTGCCCATTTCCAGGCATGCTGATGCATTTTGCTGTTTTCTCTTCATTTCTTTGGTCAGCTCACATAGCTGAAGCCTTTTGTCACCCTGAGCTGACGTGGCTCCACTGTGGCACAGAGGGTGGCAGAGGGCACAGCCTGCCTCTGCTGCTTGCTGTAAGTGCTGTACTCTGCATTCCTTGCAGGAATGGAGGCCAAGCAGGGCTCAGGTAGCACTGAGTTGAGCTTCCCGTGCAGCAGTGATGCTCCCACAGGGCTCAGGGCTGTCTGGGTGATGTTTTCCTGCCAGACATGTGAGACCTCCATGCAGGGGCCTGCAGGATGCTCAAACAGAAGAGAAAACAACCCATTTTGCTTTTAGAACACAGTCAGTGTTTAACCAGCAGAGCTTTTGTGCTGTCCCTGCAGCAGGAGCAGCAGCTCAGCCCAGCTGCTTACAGTTGTGGTGCATTTTGAACCCCAGAACGTGCCAGAGTGACAGGCTGTGTCTGTGCACCATGGCTGAGCAAGCGGGTGCTGCTCAGCCTTCCCTCCTTCCTTTGGCATTTCACAGCAGCAGAGTACAATGCCTGTGGGTCTGACCCAAGGGTTTTAAGTGTTTGCCACTTTTCATCCCTCTGCCTCCTTACGTTGTGTGTTCGTCCTGGAGCCTCAGCATTTCCCTCAGCACTGACCCCCGTTTTATCTGTCCTTGTGTTTCTTTGATGACTCCACGCTGAGGGCATAGCAGTAATAACAGCTTTTCTTGTTCCACTTCTGCCAGGTCTGTACAAACAGACTTTTTTCTTCCTGCTCTTCATTCACGTGCCCAGGCTCTACAGAGCCATGGTGCAGCCTGCTCTGTTGTGCACGTGCTTATTTCAGCACCCAGCGACACTGCTGGGTCACAGAATGGCACAGAATGGCCTGGGTTGCAAAGGCCCCCAATGCCCATCAGTTCCAACCCCCTGCTGTGTGCAGGTCACCAACCAGCAGCCCAGGCTGCCCAGAGCCACATCCAGCCTGGCCTTGAATGCCTGCAGGAATGGGGCATCCACAGCCTCCTTGGGCAACCTGTTCCAGTGCCTCACCACCTCTGGGTGAAAAACTCCCTCCCCCTAAAACCTCCTCCCTCCCCCTAAAACCCAACCCGATGTTAAAAAACCATGGGGCTCTTTGCTGCTGGAAGTGTGCTGGAGGTGAGTGATCACAGAGCCCTCAGATGGAGCAGAAATGTGCTGACTCAGAGGTACCAAAGCCGTGGTGCCGGACTGTTGGCTGTAGCTGCGCCTTCAGCCGGGACCTGAGCTGCTGCATGGGCTCACAGCAGCACAGAGATGGGGCACGTGGTGCTGAGAGCAGCCTTGGGAGCTCTGAGTCTGGTGATACAACAGGCTTTGGCTGCACCAGGGCTCACGTAGAACGAACCAGCTGCTTGCCTCCATCTTTTCATTGCTTTAATGCTGGTACGTGAGACTTCCAAATGCTGGGTGCGGACGCGGCAGGAAATGGCACGCCATGGGCATCAAGAGGCTACTGCTAACTCCTGATTTCTCAACATAGTTTGATTGCTTCTGTGTTGTTTTTTGTTCTTTTAAATACATTTAGCTCTAGCTTGAAAAAATACACAGAGGGATCAGGAGTGGTGCAGACAGCAGCTGCTCATCCTGCAGTAGAGCCCAGCGTGGTGAAGAAAGAACCCATTTCCACCCCTCCTGTCGAGGACGAGCTGCCAGTGGTGAAGACAGAGCCTTCAGAGTCGCACCTGGAAGGGGCACAGAGGGATTCTGCTGCAGCACTGGCAGAACAAACCAGCAGGAAGGCAGGGGCTGAGCTCATAGATGAGCCCCTCGGATCAGCTGGGGCCGAGTTACCCACAGCAAAGCCAGAAGAGAAGCTGCTGCCTCCTCCCAGCACGGGAAAGGAGGAGGCGATTACAGACGGCGCAGCCTCGAAGCTCCCTGTGCCTGCAGTTGGGTCCGCAGCACAGCAGGGCAGGGTGCTGGGAGCTGAAGGGCCGGGTGCTGCTGGAGAGCTGCTGGGAGCAGCTGACCCTGTGCCTGCAGACATGGGCTCATCCGTTGTCCCACACAGAAACCCGAAGGCTGACGCCGCCAAAAAGACACGTGTTAACGATCTGGTGAAAACAGAACGTGAAAAGCAGAGGGCTCCAGCAGCAGAGGTGAAACCTGAGCTTGAGGCTGGGGCGGCACCGGGGAGGACGCTGGCTGGAGATGGAACTGGAGTGGACGTGGAGGTGAGAGCAGAAGGGGCTGTGCTCCATGGTGGCACTGCTGGGGAGGAGAGCCCCCAGCTGAAGTCTGCAGCAGAGGTGGAGAAGAAACGCGAGCAGTGTGTGGCTGAGGTTGGGGCGGCCGTGGAGAACAGCAGTAAGAATGTGAAGGAAAAGAAGGGAAGTTTAAGCAAAGCGCCTCAAAGCAAGGAAGCGAGGCCAGCAAAAATGAAGGAAGCTGTCAAAGCTGCCGCATCGAACTCCTCTTCGTCCACCAGGGAGCCTTCCTCTGCTCCTAAAGAAATTCTGAAGGCAGAGGCGTCTGTTCCTGATACCTTGAAGCCGAGCGATGCGGTGCAGAGAAGGAAACCTGCCCTGTGCAAAGGAGAGGAGCAGGCAGCTTCCTCCAAAGCCAGGTCCCAGGGAGCAGCAGCGGGGCAGAAGAAGGCATTAAAAGAGGAAGGTCAGCCCAGAGCCAGCACGTCCCAGCCAAGCGGCTCTGCAAAGGGAGGCAGTGGGAGGAACGCATCCCTGCAAGACAAGGACTCGCGCGTGGAGCCGAGGGCTGGTTCAAAGCAGCCCCAGGAGGGGGAGAGCAGGTCGTCCAGCGCGAAGAAAGACAGCAGCAGCACTAAGGTGAGGAGGGCAGGAAGGCTGCTAACCAACTGTGCTTCTCTCATGTGTTGAGCACGGGGCAGTGGGGCTGAGTTCCCCTTCCCCGTCCTTAAACCGCTCTGCTTTGGGCCGGCGGAGTCAGACAAGAGCCATAACAATGCAGGGCAAAACATGCAGCTTTGAAGCTGCTCGGATAAAATAGCAGGAAGGTCCTTCCTAAGCAAGTCTGCACCTCGTGTCATCTGATGTTTCTGGATTGGTTCTGACTGGGAATCCTCGTCCTTCTGTGGGCTGTGGTGGCTGTGCTGAGCCCTGCACAGGGCCGGGCTGCTGGAGGAGGTGGCTGAGCTGTGGCTCCGTGCCTGGACTGCCTGCTGGTGGCTCCTGAGCTCTGTTTGCCAAGACGTGGCCAGAAGCAGCAAACCTGGACAGCTTGAAAAAGCGAAACAGAAAAAGCAAAATTTATTAAGATGAATTTTTTAGTTATCTTTTTCTTGTGGACTCGTTGCCGTCACCAATTTCACATGAATTCCTGTCTCACCCTGCAGGTTTCCACTGGAGGCAATACGAGAACGTCCAAAAGCAGTGGCAGCAGCAGCACAAAGCAGAAGGAGGTGAGTGCTGGTGGGGGCTGAGCTCCACATGTGGGGTTCCTGAGAGCCTGGTCCCCAACCACCCACCTGAGATTTCGTACCATCGCATCTGTGAGAGGTGCAAGGGAGGTCGAAGGCTCTTATAAACAGTTCTGTAGAACAGGAGGAGATCAGAACTTCTCCATCCACGTTCCCCTTCCACACAGAGGTATTTCCCAGGGGCTCTACCTATTGTCTCCGTTTTGGTGTGAAGAACAGCCTGGAGCTGATGGGCTCAGCTCTCAGTCAGTGCTTCTGCCTTGGCCTTAAAGTCCTGCCCTAGCAGGGCTTTCTCCCTCCTGTGTGTTGGGCACCATCAACACTCGATGGTGGGACAGAAAGTTTTGCAAAAAAAAAAAAAAAAAAAAATTCCAAATCATACACTGAAGAAATGGAAGTAGGAACGTGGGGCTGTGGGAGGGAGGGCCACCATGGAGGCAGTCAGGAGTTCACTGCATTTCCTACAGGTGAATGCTGAGATCTGGGGCATCTGCTTGGTTGGTTCGATGGATGTTTGCCTGGTTGTGCCTCCATCCCTCCTCCCTCCATCCTCCTTCCTCCATCCCTTCCGTATAGGATGGGGATCCTGCCCTGGTTGGTTGTGTCTCCATCCCTTCCTTCACCAGTCCCACATGGATTGGGAAGCCTGCCCTGGTTGGGTTGTGCCTCCCTTCCCTCCATCCCTTCCCTCCATCCCTTCCCTCCATCCCTTCCCTCCATCCCTTCCCTCCATCCCTTCCCTCCCTCCCTCCCATGTGGGATGGGGATCCTGCCCTGTTTGGTTGTGCCTCCATCCCTCCCTCCATCCATCCCACGTGGGATGGGGATCCTGCCCTGGCTGTTGTGTGTCCATCCCTTCCTTTGGCTGCCCTGTGGGTGCCTCCCGTTGAGCACGGAGGCGGCTGTGGCGCTGCGCAGTGCCGCACTCGGTTAAAGCCGTGCTTTTCCCCTTCCCAGGAAGAAGAGCTGTTCCCATTCAACCTGGACGAGTTTGTTACTGTGGACGAGGTGATAGAGGAAAGCGAACCTCCCGTTAAAACACAGCACAGTCAGCCCAAGGGGAAGAGGAAGGAGTGTTCCAGGAGCACCTCGGAGCCCAGCTCCAAGAGGAGGAAGGAGAGGAGCTCCCCGCAGCGCCTCGCCGAGAGCCAGCTGTCCTTCGTCATGTTGGATGAGATCGGCGAGGAGGAGGAGGAGGCTGGCGCACAGCTGGGCATGCTGGTGGTGGACGAGGTGGTGGAGGAGGAGGAGCTGCTGGCCGAGGTGGGCGAGGAGCCGCGGGTGCTCCTCACCTTGGATGAGCTGCAGGAGCAGGGCGGCTCGCGGAGGGACGGCTGCGCTTCGGAAGGGCGGCGATTGAAGCCGGAGCCTTTGGTGACTGTGGATGAAATCGGGGAGGTGGAGGAGCTGCCGCTGAATGAGCCCACGGAGCTGAGCGGGGAGGAGAAGCAGAAGGAGGAGGAGAAGGGCGGCGCTGAGGATCCCTGCCAGGTGCCCGACGATCCCAGCGCCTTGGTGACGGTGGATGAGATCCGCGAGGACCACGAGGACGACGGCGCGGCGTGGGATGAGGCGAACGAGGACGAAGATGATTTCCTGGCTGATTTCAACCGTCTGAAGGAGGAGCTGAACTTCGTTACGGTGGACGAGGTTGGGGAGGAGGATGAGGAGGAAGAAAGCGCTTTGCCAGGGGAAAACCCAAAGGAAGGCGAAGACAAGGAGGAAAATGCTGCTGCTGTGGGACCAGAGGAAGAAATGGCTGCAGCTGCAGGACCAGAAGAGGAGGACATTGTTGCTGTTGCAGGGCCAGAAGAGATGGAAGTTCTGGGCAGTGCTCATCCAGAGGAAGAGGAAAGTGCAGCCTCCAAATCAAAAGGTGAGGAGCTGCTGGTAGCTGCCAGAGGGGAACAGGAATCTGGTGCCTGGAATGACTGCGTGGGGAAGGGACAAAGGGAGATGCGTGGGGATGAGAGTTGCAGAATGGGTCTGTGTGCAGTGTGCAGTCAGGAAAGGGTTAAGAAAGGTGTAAGGGAGCTGGGAGGGGAGAGCTATAGATAACCCAGGGAGCTGCAGGCTGTGACATCCGAGCCCAGCAGGCAGGCAGGGGCTGAAGGATGGCTGAGCCTGCTGTGCTGGGAGCCTGAGCAGGGCTGGAACACCTCTGCTATGGGGACGGGGAGGGAGCTGGGGCTGTGCTGCATGGAGAAGGCTCAAAGGAGACCATACAGTGGTCTTCCAGACCTGAAGGGGCCTGTGTGAAAGCTGAGGAGGGAATTTATAAGGGCAGGTAGTTGACAGGATGAGGGGAAATGGCTTTAAGCTTAAAGGGGGTAGATTTAGACTGGGTAATAGGGAAGGCATTCTTCGTGAGGGACAGGTTGCCCAAGGAGGCTGTGGATGCCCCATCCCTGCAGGCATTCAAGGCCAGGCTGGATGTGGCTCTGGGCAGCCTGGGCTGCTGGTTGGCGACCTGCACACAGCAGGGGGTTGGAACTGGGTGATCATTGTGGTCCTTTGCAACCCAGGCCATTCTGTGATTCCATGTGAAGCACTGAACAGGTTCCCCGTTGAGGCTGTGGGTGCCCACAAAAGCTGTTTCCCGCATCCCAAAGGCCAGGACAGCCCTCAGCTTACTGCCATCCTTTTCAGATCTGGATTACCTCCTCCCCAAGGCCGGCTTCTTCTGCCAAATCTGCTCCTTGTTCTACTCAGATGAGACCTCAGTGAAGAATCACTGCCGCACGGCGCTGCACCAGCAGAACGCAGAGGTGAGCTGGGGGCTGGGGGGGGCTGCACGGGGCTGGGGGGGCTGCACAGGGCTGGGGGGGCTGCACAGGGCTGGGGGGGCTGCACAGGGCGGGGGGGGCTGCACTGAGCTGGGGGGGCTGCCCACTCACTGTGCCCTTCTTCCTGCAGAGGTTCATGGCCACACAGGAGGAGGAGAGCAGTGGGGCTGAGCACAGCCCGAGGTGACGGGAGGAGAGGAGCCTCCATCCTTCCATCCTTCCATCCCATCCAGCGTGGGGCCCGGCTGCCTTCGTGTGCTCTGTTGGTGTTGTACAGAGCCAGACTGAGACACCCACGGGGGGGGGGGAGAGGGGGTGGCTTTGGTTTGTGTCCCAAAGCATCGGGGTGCTGGGGAGCTGCTCCCCCCCCTGCCATAAACACCCTCCTTGTACAGCCCCCAAGGCCTCGTGTGTGCTGTGCCTCCCCCTGCCCCCCACCCTGCCCCACCCGGGGTCCTGGAGTTGGTTCAGTGCACTCCACGCATCACCTGGGGGGGTCCCTTATGCCTGCCTGCACCCCTGCCTGCTGGGGGGGGGCTCTGGTTTCTATTGGGACCCCCATCTCCTGAGCATCCCATCACGTCTGGGGGGCCCTGCAGTGCTCTGGGTGACCCATGGCTTGTGCCCAAGTTTCCTATGCGTGCTGTGGGTCTTCAGTTCATCTTTGGGGGGGGTCCCTTATGCTTGCCTGCACCCCCCAGCTGCTGGAGGCAGGGCTCTGGTTCCCACCAGGCCCCCCATCCCTGGGAGCATCATGGAGTGTCTCATTGCCCTGGGGGGGACCCGATGCTCTCCAGGGCCGTGCAGCCATCCGTGGCCTTGTGGCCGTTTGCTGTGCACCTTGTGGGGCTTCAGCTCATCATTTACTACTCCTGCTGGGCTGCCACGAGTCCACGGGGCCGGATGAGATCCACCCAAGACCCTGATGGCCCTGGCGGAGCTGATAGCCCAGCCATTTGCTGTTATCTGCCGGTGCTCCTTGTTGACTGGTGAGGTCCCAGAAGACTGGAGGCTTGCCAGCGTGACTCCCATCTCCAAGAAGGGCTGTAAGGAGGATCTGGGGACCTGAAGGCCTGTTAGCCTGACCTCGGTGCCAGGAAGGCAACTGGGGGATGAAGCCTAGCCAGCATGGGCTCACCAGCAGGTCCTGCTTGACCAACCTGATCTCCTTCTGTAATCCAGTGACCCGTCTGCTAGACGAGGGAAGGCTGTTGACGCAGTGTGCCTGGACTTCAGCAAGCCTTTGACATGTCTCCCCAGCATTTTGCAGGAGCTGGCAGCCCGTGGCTGGGACAGGTGTGCTGTTGGCTGGGTCAGGAACTGGCTGGAAGGCAGCGCACGGAGAGCGGAGGTGAATGGAGCTGAATCCAGCTGGCAGCCACTGGTGTTCCGCAGGGTCGGTGCTCTGCAAGATCTTTAGTGACGACCTGGATGAGGGCACTGAGTGCCCCCTGTAAGTTTGCGGATGGCACCAAGTTGGCTGGAAGTGTGGATGTGCCTGGGGGTGGCGAGGCCCTGCAGACGGATCTGGACAGGCTGGAGAGCTGGGCTGAAGCCAATGGGATGAGGTTCAACAAGGCCAGATGCCGGGTCCTGCACTTCGGCCACAACAACCCCAGGCAGTGCTGCAGGACTGGGGCGGGTGGCTGGAGGACTGCACACAGGAAATGGAGCTGGGGTGTTGATCGGTGCTCGGCTCAGCACGAGCCAGCAGTGTGACCGGGTGGCCAAGAAGGCCGATGGCATCTTGAATTGCATCAGAGCCAGCGGGAACAGGGCAGTGACTGTCCCTGCACGCAGCTCTGTCTCACGGCAAGGACAGTGAGCCCCTGGGGCGGGTTGAAAGGAGGGAACGGAGCTGCGAGGGTCTGCAGCACACGGCTTGTGAGGGGCGGCTGAAGAGCTGGGTTCAGTGTGGAGAAGAGGCTCAGGGGGGACATGATGGCTCTCTGTAGCCACCTGAACAGAGTGGGGACACCAGGGGACATGGAGAACCCCAATGGGACACTGGGACCCCAATGGGACATGGGGACCCAATGGGGCATGGAGGACCTTGAGTGTGGAGAAGAGGAGGCTTGGGGGAGACCTTATTGCTCCCTATAGCTACCTGAAGGGAGTGGGGACAGCATGGGGACCCAATGGGACACTTGGACATCAATGGGACATGAGGACCCAGTGGGACATGGAGAACCTTGAGTGTGGAGAAGAGGAAGGTCCAGGGGAGACATCATTGCTCTCTATAGCTACCTGAAGGAAGTGGGGACAGCATGGGGACCCAATGGGACTTGGAGAACCCCGATGGGACACTGGGACCCCAATGGGACATGGAGGACCTTGAGTCTGGAGGAGGCTTGGGGGAGACCTTACTGCTCTCTATAACTACCTGAAGGGAGTGGGGACAGCATGAGGACCCAATGGGACATGAAGACCCAATAGGACACTTGGACATCAATGGGACATGGGGACCCAATGGACATGGAGGACCTTGAGTGTGGAGATGAGGAGGCTTGGGGGAGACCTTACTGCTCTCTATAGCTACCTGAAGGGAATGGGGTCAGAAAGGGGACCCAATGGGACATGGAGAACCCCGATGGGACACTGGAACCCCAATGGGACATGGAGAACCTTGATGGGACACTGTGATCCCAATGGGACATGAGGGCCCAAAGGAGCATGGAGGACTCCATCGGGACACTGGGACATCAATGGGACGTGGGGACCCAATGGGACGTGGACAACCCCGATGGGACACTGCAACCCCAATGGGACATGGGGACCCAATGGGACATGGAGAACCCTGATGGGACACTGGGACCCCAATGGGACTTGAGGACCCAGTGGGACATGGAGGACCTTCAGTCCGGAGAAGAGGAGGCTCAGCGGAGGCCTCATTGCTCTCTGTAACTGCCTGACACCCCCGGGGGGGTGGGGGGGTGGCTTTGGTTTGTGTCCCAAAGATCGGGGTGCTGGGGGGCTGCTTCCCCCCCCACCCCCCTGCTCATCTGCCATAAACACCCTCCTTGTACAGCCCCCAGGGCCTCATGTGTGCTGTGCCCCCCAGAATAGGACCCCCCCATACACCCCCCCAAATGGGGCTCCTGGGACCACTCCCATACTGAACCCCCCCTTCCCCCCCCAGAATGAGACCCCTCCCATACTGAACACCCAA